TTCCGCAAGCGCCTCGGAACAAAGGGCACTCGCCCGAGTTGCAACCGGTTCCGAAGGCATCGAGAGTGTCGTCGACTCACTCCCGGCGGAGCTGAGTTTCCCGACTGCTTGCCCTTACCTCTCAAAGAGCAGCCCACTGTGTTGTGGCAATCACTGTTGCACCACAGACAATAGCCGAATCTTGTGCGTAGCTTGTACGCACGTTCTGAGAGATTGTACTGGGCCCATCGGGCTTGAGCTGCTGCGCCGGACCCGAGGATCGATGCGGTGTTTGTCTTCGGCTTGCCGCGTCCTCGATCTTTGCCGGGGCGGCCACCATCCCGGGCGGCGGCGAGTTTGTCCCCTTCATTGGCAGACACGGCCTCGCTTGAAGGGTCGGTTGGCATTGCCGCCTCGGCCACAACCACTTTCGGGTGATGTTGATCTTCGCTCGGGCCTGTCGCAGACAAACGGTTGAGGTTCTTGGCCTCCTTGTTCGTGACAATGATCTTCGCGGCCTTGTCGAAGAGCTCCGTCGTCGTCGTCAGGGTCTCCTCGACGTGAGTCAAGGCGTTGCCTAACGCTGGACACGACCTCGTGATGAAGTAGTGTTTGATGGCCTTGAAGCCCATCTGAATGTCTGGGACGAATGTCAAGTGTTGGTACTCGGTAATCAAATCAGTACTCGACGGTGTGCCTTGTTCGAAGGTCATCAATTTATCCATTGCCTTGATTTCCTGCGGCTCTACTTGGAACCGCTTATGCCACGCCGCGTTTACATCATCCCAACTGATCTTGGTGTACAAGTCGGCGGCTACCACCCCGTACTTGGACAAAAGGTTGTCCAACCACGCTTGGCACGCGTGTGTGAGTGGTAGCGCGTGATGCTTGTCCTCGCTGACGTGGTGGCTGCAACTTGAGCTCGAACTTGCGGAACCACGGCATCGGGTCCGTCTTCGTCAATCTCCAATGCATCGTGGTGATCGGAGGTGTTGGAGGAGCTGGCAACGGGGGGGGGCGACGGTTTGCTCCAGCTGCTGGAGGCGGCTGTTGACTTGGTCAAACGCCCGTTTGTGTCTGAACAGCGTCGTCAAGGTTGTGGATGTCCTCCTGCTGTGCAATGCATGTTGCCAGGAGATCCGTGAAATGGGAGAGTAGAGCGATCTTGCTTCCACTCTCTTCCATGTTACCAGTCTCGGCCTCGGCCCGCCAGTCCGCTGCCATTGTGAGCAAGGCTCGCTCCCCACTGAATATCTTCTCGCGTCGTTGATCTCGTTCTTCATCGGCAGCCTTTGCTGCTGCCTCGTCCTGCTGACGTTTTGCTCAATCGCCAGCAGACGCGCTTTCTCTGCGTCTTCTGCTTTCTTCTTTGCTGCGGCTGCTGCCGCGTCCAACCGTTTCTTGGCCTCGGTAATCAAGTCCAACATCCGGGTCTGATAGGCCTCGTCCGTTTCCCCTGGCTTCTGGTCCATGGCGGCTGTTTGAGAGCGCGTGAGCATGGACTAGGCCAGAGAACTGCTGATGTGGCACTCCCTGCTGCTGATGTGGCACTGCTCGGCTGCTAACGTGGCACGGCTGTCAGCTGACGTGGCCTGCTGACGTGACAGCTTACTAATGTCACCGCAGGGGGTACCCGGAGACAGAGAGAGAAAGGAAGACCGGGGGGTGCAACAACATAGGTGGGGAGGGGTGGGTGGGATAAATCGCCCAGATAAGGAGCCACTAATCAAAAAAATGAAAAGTTTGAACTTTTGCAAAAAATTCAAGAAATTAAGGGTAATAAAATACTACAATAACAATCTCGAGTTTGCCAGTTCAGTAGGGCTCCCAATCTCCCTCAAATTCGAATTTACCAATAATAATAAAAAACAATAGAATTTTTTTAGACTGCAAATGATTAACATATAATAATGAATAAGAAAAATGATGGAACTGTGAAGAAAATGTTTTCTCGCAAGTTCAAAAGAATTCCGAAAAATAAAAAATATTCGGAATTACTCAGATGAGAGTATGCGCAGTTAAGAAAAAACGCTACTGCAGGAGGGATTTCCCGTACAATTTTCAAATCTCAAAAAAAAAAATAGCGAATCTCGGAAATTCCAAAAAAATTCTCGGAATTTCGGAAAAACAGGAAATTGCAAAAGGAAATCGAAAATTTCGTAAAAAAATATATTCCGGATTTCAAACAACGAAATTTCGAATTTTCAGAAAAAAACGAAAAAACGGAAATTTCAGGTGCTGCGCTATTGCGATTTTCCACAAACAGAAATAGCGGGAAAACGAAATCCAAGATGGGAAAAAAAAAAAAAAAAAGATTTTCGGACAGTTTGGTCAAAATTCGCAATTTTGGGGACTAATTAGTATGTTCTAATCAATCAATCAAGCAAGCAAGCAATGATCAATCAATCAATCTATCAAAGACTAATCAATCAATCAATCAATCAATCAATCAATCAATCAACCAATGATTAACCCATCAATGACTAATCAATCAATCAATCAATCAATCAAGACTAATCAACTAACTAGTCCCTGCACACGTGTCAGATCAGGTTGTCCTGATTCACGTGCGGGGCCCCGATACCAACTGATACATGCCCCTTTGGGCAGTGTATGTAGAGCCAAGGATCCGCAATGTGATGAAAAGGACTGAGTGGACAATGCAATGTCAGTTGAATCTCAACAAGCAATGTACACCCTGATACATACAAAATGGCACATAGTAGCGTAGTGTCCTGACCTGACCGGGACTGACATGACATCCCATCATAGCGAAGTCCAAAATTAGTCCCTTGCCGATGTCCAATCAATGTCTGCCTCAGAAATGTCGAATCAGATCCTGGGCGCAGTGCCCACTGTAACCTCTGCCTGTATTCTCCGCCTGTAACCTCTTGCACTCTCGTATCTGAAGAAGAGGAGGAAGGAGGAGGAGGAGGAAGGAGGAAGAGAGAGAGAAGAGATGGAGGAAAAGGAAGAAGAAGATGCTGTCCTCCTCGCTGTCTTACCTACCCGTAACTGCTGTACTAACTGTGGTTCGTCCGGTGCAGGTACCGCGCAGAGCCCTAGCTATGGAGCCAGGTAAGCTCGCCACTGCAGGTAAGTCGTCGCACCCTCTCTCTACCTCATGCGCCTCTCCTCCCTAGCTCAGCAGCACAGCGCTAAGCAGCGTGTCACTCAAGAAGTGAGCTTCCCAACTGTTCCTGGCCCAGCTGCTGCCCAGCTATTTGTAGCGCTGGGCGCCGCTGGGCTTCCCTGGTGCTGGCCTCAAAACGGCCTACCGGGTCTGGGCCCCTACCGGGCATCCAGACCGTGCTGCTGATGCAGCAAGGCGCGAAAAATGCGCCTGGCCTGAAAACGGCCCCGTCCCTGTGTACCTAGCCCAAGGCATCGCCTTGGGGCCTGCAGGTCCAAAACGCCGTCTGCACCTACTGGTCTGGCGCCAAAATGCGCCTGGCCTCATTTCGGTCCTGCCTCCGGTGCACCCAGTCCCAAGGTCTGGCCTTGGGTCTGCAAGTCCGAAACGGCACCTGAACAGACAAAAATAGGACAGCACACACACACACGGGGTAAGTAAAAATAACCCTATCTACTAGTGTGCTACCTAGGGCCTGAAGGGCCGCCATGGGCCTCCAGGGCGCGTGCTGTATGGCACGCGGCCTGGGGGCCCCTCAGCAACCGTGTGCAGGCGCAGCATGTAACACTCTCCCTCCTCTCTCTCTCTTCCTTTTGTCTACGAGTCTCCACGGGCATCGAAATGAACTCAGTGAAAGAAACAGATTGAACGGGCAAAGAAAGAGACAGTGGAACTCCTAGCCGGAGTGGCATTACATTTGGACTAGAGAGCAGCCAACAAACAATCAAAGAAGATAAGTTCAGATGAGAGTTCTGATCCACGTCTCAACATGATCAGAGATCCCCTCGATGACCGAAGCTGGGATCCACTGGTCCGCAAGGGCGGGTCTCCTAGGGGCCCGTGTAGTAGGCCCCGGCATGCAACACTTGCCCTGCCTCAGGGTTAGTTAGGAATGCAGAGGCATCACGGATTGCTACTTCTTCGCTGCCGAGAGGAGAGTAGATATCAACTACTTGCACTCATGGAGAGGCCTGTGAGAGATAGTAGCGAATTCTAATTGCTGAGCAGAGGTAGTTGGCTCACAACTCTCTGCTTCTGCATTGTACTCTGGTTTGCTGCAGGAACTCAGTTGTATTAAGTCACTAAACCTCAGTTGGTTTCTGAGTGGTTGTTCATTTCATTCGACATGTTTCGTTCGACTGTCCTCTACAATTGGATTAAAAGTTTCAAATGGCACCATTGCACCTGCTGAAATCATGAAATACAAACTCGGCAGATCATTCAAAATGTTCTATTCGACTCCCCTCTTTAAATGGATTCAAGCGGCAGCATTGCACCTGCTGCTCAAAGCTTGAAATACAGACTTGGCACCTAGTCAGCAGATTCAATAAGGGATTCAAAATGTTCTGTTCGACTCCCCTCTTTAAATGGATTCAAGCGGCAGCATTGCACCTGCTGCTCAAAGCTTGAAATACAGACTTGGTACTTAGTCAGCAGATTCAATAAGGGATGTGCAGAAACCAGGTAAGCTACGGTAGCTCCTCCATGTTTTCCTCACCTGTGTTCTCCTTGCATACTCGACCGCTTCAGCATTTTACTCTGGTTTGCTGCGGGAACTCAGCTGGACAAAGTCACTAAACCATTGTTCGGTTTCTGAGTGGTGGTTCATTTTGTTGGACCGCCCTCTGCAATTTTATTCAACTGGAACCATTGCACCCACTGAAAGCTCAAAATACAAACTCGGCAGATTGTTCTCCATGTTCTGTTCGGCTCCCCTCTGTAATTGGATTCAAACGACACCATTGTGCCCGCTGCCGAAAGCTTGAAATACAAACTCGGCACTAAGTCGGTGGATTCCATAAAGGGTGTGGAGAAAGCAGGTAAGCTATTCCATAAGGGATGTGCAGAAAGCAAGTAAGGTATGGTAGCTTCTCCATCTTTTCCTCACCTGTCGTCTCCTTGCATACTCGCCAGCTTCAGCATCCGCAGCCCCATCCTCCACCCCACTATCTTGGCTAACCCAATAGTCATACCTGTGGAATGCAAAACAGGTGGTGGCCAACATTCCGCTTGCAATCAGTCGCCAACCTCGCACAAAGGCACGTTGGGAGCTCTGACAGAGTTCGCACAAACAAGGTGAAGATGAGGATTATTAACCAACAACAAGTCGACATGTGGCAGATTGGAAAAGACCAAGTCGAGACTCCAAATAGGCACTGAGAACAGTGAAGTAAACTATTTTCCCAGTCAACTCCTGGCCAACATAGAGATCCAGTCCCGGAGAGTTCTCAAGAAAGAAACTGGAACCAAAAGGTTCAATGATGGTCAGCCACAGGTTTCCGTGTATGCCACCATACACGGGAATGCATTGGAAAGATGGATGAGAGGATGGATGGATGACCAAGAACCGAACTCGCCTGCAACTGACAGAAGACTGAATCCATCCATAGAAAACTGCACAAGTAAATCATCGAATAGTATTAAAGTTAATTAAACATTTGCAACCAGCATCAGGATCCTCTGCCACCTATTTTGCTTTTGCTGGAGAGGGCAGTTAGCACCATGTTGATGCAACTTTGAAGTTCAAATTTAGTTTCCCTGCATCCTGATCATGATATCATATTCGTTTTAAGACGATGAAAAATCGTCAACAGCAATCACACTCCTCCCACAATGCACAAATCAAAAAGATTCAATTAGACAAGTAGGAACCCACCCGTAGGATAAATTATTATCCTTTTCTCCTTCTGTCTCATGCATCACGCTTGTACAGACACTGCACAACCACCACAGTTTAATTTGTTAGTAAGGTCCTCATGTCCTTCATGTAGAAAGTCACACTAGAAGACCCACTCAGACAATTGCAATCAGACTCGTTTTCAAACACACTTTTCACACATGTAAACAGTAACACAGCACACTGGCGACATGCGCCCACTCAAAACTCAGAGATATGGCTTCAGATACGAATTCACTCTCAAATGGCTATGGCGACTTCAGCGCCCAAACATCTCACTGTTCACATACACTGGATCACCCTGGATATCCCACACGCATCACTCTAACACTCGAACACAACACACACTCACTACTAACTACAGCTATGGCAGCTATGGCTGCCTCTAACC